CTACATATTTTCACTACAATGGAACCAGATCAACTCCTGATTTACTCTTGGTTTCAAGCGACATCGGCGAGCATACACGCCGCAATATAATTGGCGATCCTGGTTCTGGTCACAAACCGGTCATTGCTAGTATTGACTGGTTCTGGTCACAGGCAAAATAATTGACGATCCTGGTTCTGGTCACAAACCAGTCCGTGAAATAATTGACGATCCTGGTTCTGGTCACAAACCAGTCACCGCACAATAATTGACGATCCTGGTTCTGGTCACAAACCAGTCATTCTACCATCGGCAGCAAAAGCATGACAAGGAAAGTGCCAACTCATCGGCAGCAAAAGCATGACAAGGAAAGTGCCAACAACTTTAGCAAAAGCATGACAAGGAAAGTGCCAACTAAGCTATCATTGGCATAAGCATGACAAGGAAAGTGCCAACTAAGCTATCATGGAACGTCAAGAACCTGACTGGTCTAGATTCACTAACCTTTTAGACAATGGACTTAACACAAGTCCCCTCAACTTCAACCAACATCCTGACGATCATATCATGAATATTATGATCAGATGTGCAAAGAAAACTACAAGGCAAGACTAAAGCAAATATTATGATTAGATGTGCAAAGAAAACTATTCCCAGAGGCAAGACTAAACCAATATCTAGATAGTCTAAACACCTTGAGGAACTGAAAAGAAAGCGGGACGATCTAAACACATAAACACTATCGAGTGTTTTGGTCCAAACACCTTGAGGAAGCTAAAAGAAAGCGGGACGCCCTTCGCAACACTGCTGATCAGTGTAAGAGGGACGCCCTTCGCAACACTGCTGATCAGACTGGGAGGGACGCTCTTTGCAACACTGCTGATCAGACTGGAAGTGACGCCCTTCGCAAAACTGCTGATCAGACTGGAAGAACTCTGATCAGACTGGAAGAACGGAAGACGTACAAGCCTGGAGGCAATCATATGTCCTAAGGCAAGCCATCCTTAAAGCTAAACGGACTTCCATCGACAAATTCATCTCACATATCAACTATCAAAGTGAT